CTTGATTTTGTGCTTTGTGGATTCCTGAGCCACCGTGAGCACTCGATTCCAGCTGTAACCGGGGAACATAAGACGTAAGGTAATGTGGGAATCCTGACATCTGCTCCAACACGCTAGGTCACAAGAGCCACTGGAAGCCCACCACGAACCCCCCGCCCACACACACACATAGCACTGGGGCTCAAACCCTAGGACCTTTTACATGCTAGGCAAGCACTCTACCACCGAGACATACTCCCCAGCCAAGCCCATGATTGTGTCATCATCGTTATGGAAAAGACCACAGAGCACGTCTATCAGTGACCAAATGGGAAGCAACTGACAAAAACATCTCCCCTCGTGACAAAGCTATTAATACTATAATCAGAACTAAGTGGAAACAAAGCTTTACTTAGAAAGAGGGCCAGAAACACCTGGGTTTTACTTGATCTCCCAACTCAGCTCATTTTCTGTTAAAAGTCAACTGTATAAAGACTGACAATGGCTCAAACAGGATGGTTAAAAAAAAATACAGGAATGGTTCAAACCATCCCACTCAAGGGAGAAATGACTACAGGCATTGTATCTTCTCCCCCTCCCTTCTCGAAAGTTAGCAGTCGGAGCACTCCAGGGGTTTAGAACGCAGGTGTTAAGGAGCCAGGAATCCCAGGTGCAGCTTGTATTTCCTTTCTCGGCTGACCTTCAAGGTCAATTGGCTAGCAGGTTTTGACCACAGAGGGAGTTCTTCTCCATCACTCTTAAGTGAAGAAGCACTTACACAGGAATGGCAGACAAGGAGGCAGCTTTACTGTACTTTGGGGAAGGGGGGTTATGATTTCATTTAGGGGAGAAAAACCATCGACACGCGGTCAGCAACACTGCCATCTAGTGGAGCAGTGAGGCACCAACCAGGACTTTCAAGAACGGTGCATTTGCTGATTTCAATTCTAACCACAAAACAGCATTTTTAATAGGGAAGTCTTCAGAGAACCTCAGATTTTGAGAAACCATTTTTGACTTTAAAAATACATAAATGTATGTGCTTTCTCTGCTTGGGGGGGTTAAAGAATAAGACGTGTTGTTTTTAATAGATCACCAATATAATTCCCAATTTAAAAATGTGTGAGACACTTTGGGGGCAACGGGCCTCTTTGAACGTGTATCCCTTTTGTTTGAAACTGTTATAAAAAACAAAAACAAAACCCCATCTGATTATGAGTTTAAAGAAGCAAAAAAGAACAAGTTTACTTATTTCCTCTTTACAATCTCTGGGGCCAAGTATTTGCACTTCACTTACTTGAATTCCTGGGGGAAATCATTAGAGCACACCAGTAACAATTTTCCAACATCACACAACCCAACTCCTATTATGACTACACAACAACGTAAGATATTGGTGTGAGGATGCGGGAATGCTTTCCCTAATGAGTAATAAAGTAATTCTTCTCAAGGCATTAAAAAATCCCCTTTCTACCCAGGTGTTGCAATGCGTGTTGATTTGATGACACCTGAGTATATAAATGAGAGAACTTAATGAAACATCTGGATGAAAAAGGACTTAAAGTGGCAAGAATTACATTGTTAACATCCCCAAACGCAAACTGGCATCTCCGTTATTACTGAGATTTTAGATTCTGGGTTAAGCGCTTTGCTCCCTGACATACCCACAACGGTTATTGATCTTGCTAATGAGTTCCCCTATTGCTACATTTCTGGGTTGATGGTTGGCGGCACAGTTACTACAATGCATGTCTGACATGGTCTTCAACAAACAATATGCTTGGTAAATAATAAACATAGTTAAGGATTTGGGGAAGGGCCAAATTCTAGGGAAGAGGAATACAGTGGTAGAGAAAGAAGTTGAATGAACATTCCTGCTGAAATAGACCACGGGCAGTACGCACGTGGCTGTGCCATCAGAACCACCCTGCGGGACACGTGTGTACCACCAGAGGTTCCGAGCCACAGCAAGATATGCGAATTATGTCCCCGTCATGAACATGTTAAAACATTTTTAGTTTGCCTTCTGTTCGTAGATACAACAGGAGGTTTTGATTCAAGGCAACCTGAGATTATCCAGAAAATCAGACGTGCAGGGTATAAGCCAGAGTTTCTCAACATGACGCTGCCTGGGGAGCGAGAGTGCTCCCTCAAGTACGGTACCTGAATGGGGCGCCGCTTTAGGGCTGTGTAGGAGGCCCGGTGTCCACTGCAGTCTGGATGAGGCCGTCCTTCACCACATGGCAGAGCAGTCTGCACCGTCCACACAAGGCTACTACTTGGGCACTCCTGCAGCCAAAGCAGTACGCCTTAGAGCAAGTAACTCAAACATGATGCCAAAGTCCTCTCCAAAAAAGTTTATTAGCATGATTAAAAACATTTCCTTGAATAGTAACAGAAAGAGTTTCTAAACATGAAAGAGTATCAGTGGCTATACCTTATAACCAGTATCTGGAACTGAGTGGATAACTTTATTGCCAGTCTTCATTTTATTAAAAACAATCCATGTATTGGTTCCATGAAGCCATGACTATTGCTTTGGGAGTGAGTCCCTACTGCAATTAAGTATAAAAAATATCTTCCGTCATAATTGAAGTGTGATCGGCATCCGAGTGTGACTCTGAGTAAAGAGCTGATAAAAATCCACAAAGAGTTGGGTTTCTGTTTTTTAAAAACATTCCTTTTACACACTACAAAGAAATAATTAGTATTTTGGCTTTTTAAATCCCTACAGGACATTTAGAATGGCAGCCCCCAAAGGTCCTCCCATCACACAGCTGTGACCGCAGACCCTCTCCTGGAGGGTGGATACTGAGGGTGGACTTTGGCCTCCACATGTTTATACCGGTCTGAGAACAAAGACAGCATCATCCAGAACGTAGTAGTCATTGTACATGTCGCCTTCACACAGGTACGGCAGTCTGGTGAGAGCCTCGATGACAAAGCCGGCTTTTCTGAACACTTCAGGCAGGCTATTCACTTGTTCTTCCCAGTTCTGTCCCTTGATTTCCAAAATTTCTGACGGTTTTTCCCACTTGCCACCTACTAAAACAAATTAAAAACATTAGGTTAAATTCGTGAATGAGCAAGTGACTTAAAAGGGAGGAGGGGAAGGCACTTGTGCTCTCAGGAGTCTTCTCCCGTTCTTCCCATCACCTGAGACGGCACAGACTCACTTCTCTGACAGGGTCTGGCACGGTGCGGTCCTTTAGACTGCCTGGGGGTTGTAGCAGTTAACGGGCTTAGAAAACTGGCCAAAACTAGAAGACTGAATCGGAGTAGTAAGTAATATTTCAAAGAGGGTTTGCAAAACACAAGAAAGTATCCTTGATGCAGTAAATTTACACAACTTATTACCTAGAGAGACTTCGTCAGGCTAAAACTAGAAATGACTGATATACTGGGGACTGAAACCAGGCTGTCACACTGAGCTATGTAGCCGGCTCCTTTTTAGTTTTTATTTTGAGACAGGGTCTCTCAAAGTTGCCCGGCTGGGCTCAAACTCACTGTCCTCCTACTTGAGCCTCCTGGAGTGCTGGATTAGAGGATGTACCACCATACCTGGCTAAAGTTTAAATTCTAACAGGAGATCATCAGTGCATTGTTCAAGGGAGGGTGACTTGAGACCTAAATTTTCAGAACTATTTCATAAAAATTAAGCTCTAAGACCAAAATTAAGCTCTAAAACACAAGAATGGAGGAGTCACAGCTCTTCTTGGAATAGTGACTGAAGTCTCTCCCAAACCCGAGTATCAGACACCTGAGGAATAAGGAAACCAGGCAAGGTTTTCAAATCCACCTACAAATCAAGCACTGACTACACACACACACACAAATTCAGACCCAGAATAGCTTTCTGTGAATGAGAAAACAGATGATCAGCAGGGGCCAAGAGCACAAAGCTATTGTGAAAAGCGTGTACTGTCTCAGTGACCCAGCACTGAATCTTCTCTCCGCATCTGGGAATCTCCATAGATGAAGTCTTGGTAAAAGGTTAGCCTGGGGAAGCAGCTACCCGGCTTTCCCTGCAGCTCAGGCACCGGCACACAGCCTGAGACCTAGAAGGAGCAGGGGTGACCCTCCAAGACGCGAGAAGGCTCGTCCTCTGAGGTCCAAAGCTGGGCAGTGTTCCCTAGTGCCTGGGGCAGAGCACACTCTACCAGCGTTAGGCACGGCGCGGCACAGCACCCTCCACATGTGGCTCTCCAGACCCCAGGGACCTGCCAGGATGTCCTTCCAATTCAGTCAGCCTGAGTCAGTTCCTGCTGCGAACAAAGAACCCCACGGCTGGTGCTCTGGGAGTGGGGGAGAGGTGACAAGGGTCCGCAGCAGAGAGCCCACACATTTGTCTCATTAAAAAGGGAGGAGTCTCTGAGCCAGGTGTGGTGGCGCAGGCCCGCAAGCCCTGTTACTCCACAGGCTGAGGCAAGAGGATCACAGCTCAAGTTTAGTCTGGACAACTTGGTGAGATAATGTCTCAAAATTATTATTATATTAAACATTATTATTCTTATGTACTGCAAACATGTACTAATAAAAATAAAAAATTTATTTTAAAAGGATGGGAACCACGGGATTCAAAACCAGAGCACAACTGGTCAGTGACAGCCAGTGTATTTCTTCACTACCCATATCAGTGCGTGCTGTTCACTACTCTTCTCTCAGCCCTGAGGAAGTTGCTGCCTTCCGCTGCCTCTTTGTGACCCCTGGTTACTGGCTCAGCACAGGTGATGGGACGACCACCATACTCTCCGGAAATTTCTGTACTATCTGTCAAACACTGCTTCATGGGAATATGTGCTGTGTGTAAAACAAAATCTCACTCATAAAGTCCGACACCTCAGCCTATGAAAACAATTTATATGCAGATTTAGAAATGTGTCCCAGGCTGAAATCTCAACTTTAGATGGCAAACCGGGGTTACAAACTGTCTTTACACAATTTCAAAAAGTTCCCCATTACGGTTCCGTAATAAGAGTTCCTCTTTGGTTCTTCCTTTCTAAAAAAAGAAAGGACTGTTTGAAAAAGCCAGCTCTCTCTTCAAACACAGCCCTCAGCACACACACACGGAGATGGGGATTGTGAACAAGAGAAAGACTGTTCCGGGGCTGGAAATCAACCTGATTCTGTTTTACGTAGGTAAGGCTGCTTTTTTCCCTTTTCCATTTTATTTAACTGCTATCTTTTTTGTCTAAAGCATTTATATTTTAAACTCCTACTGAGTAAGTTTTAAATGTGTAACATCACAGAAAATATCTACAGTGATAAGTTTCTTCCCGTCCCACTGAGGAACAGATAATAGCTGAGGAAAAGTTTCATATTAACCTTGAAAATTCCCTTTGCTACTTCAGCTGCTCTGCAGAACACCTCATCAGAGTTGAAAACATTCTTAAAATCACATGTGCTAGTCATTAATTTAATTCTCATACAGGCAAACTCACTCTTCACACAGTGTGCAGTGTACAGTATGATGAATACTTTCCAAAAACAATGTTTCTAAAAACACAATTTTTGTGTAAAATAAAAGCACTGCCAATATCATTTGAAAGGCTGCCACATCTCCCCTCAGAGACAGGAGCCATCCCTTGGTCCGTTTTTAGAATTCTGACCACTTGGTTTTTCTCTGTGAAAGTGTTTCTTACAGTATAGATCTAATAATCTCAGATGTGGCCACAAAATTTGGATTATAGGTAGGGAAGGTGTCAAAAGTTCTTAAAATTAATTTTTCTTTCTGTAAAGAAAAAGACCAAAATGCTAGTGGTGGTTATTTTCGACAAACGGACTACAGTGACTTCTTGCTTCTACTGTCAGCACTATTTTATTCTATTAAGTAAATATGTTAACTTTCACAAACTCTGTTAGTATTATTTTAAAGAAGAGCCCTTATCTGCAGAAAGGTTTGCAGACAGCACACCTGGGAACAGACCTACAGCCACAGAGCGCACAGTGGGGAGGGAGAGCAGTGAGCAGACGGGCTGAAGCCAGGTGTGGGTCATTTTCTACAATAAGCAGCTTTTCATAAGTGTAAAAAATCAGTTCCAATAATGTTCTTATTTTTTAAAAAAACATCAAAATGACTTTTATTCTCTCTACCAAGATAAACTTTCAGCATTATTCGTGGATACTGATTAAAAACAATCCTATAGAACACACTTGATCTTAGCCAAAAGCTGAGAAGTGATAATCCTATAGAAAACAAAAACTCTTAAAAAGTAAAATTTTTTTGCCAGGCGAGGAGGCACAGAGTGGTGTAATCCCACCACTCTGGCAGGCTGGGGCAAGAGAGTCACAAGTTCTAGCCTTGCCTGGTATTTTAGCATGTTAGCAAGACCCTGTCTCCAAACAATAAAAAAGTTAAAAAGGGCCGGAGATGCAGCTCAGTACAAAGGCCCGGGGTTCAAGCCCCAGTATAAAGCAGAAGAAAATGTTCACAGGAGCAGACTATGTTGTGACATTATCCAAACTTCTCTTTTTGCTAATATGTTGCTTAACTGGTACAAGAGGGAAACACAGCTTCCTCACAAGCGTGTGCTCTCAGAGAAAACTACTACAAAGGGCTTTCTCGCACCCTCAGACTAAGTAGAGATAGCAAACTGCAAAAGTGCAAATACTTCTTACTCGTGCCACTAGTTCTCAAAGGAAAGTATTAAAAGCTTCATTTTTAAAACCTTTAATCTGAAACCGTTTGAGACTGACACTACTTTGCTGCATTTGGACAGGACCAATCTCATCCCAAATTCCCACTCTAAACAATGACTATAAACTGTCAAGTGTCCCTCTGGACCACTAGGTGACTGAGCCATGCAAGAGGCAGGGGTGGTGTTAAACAGGCGTAGGGTGCACCCAGGCCCCTCTGGCGGTCACAGAACATCCACAGCCAGTGGTGTTCCCAAGTGACTTCCTCCTCCAACGGTTACACTTATTGGGGTCACCACAAAGCTCCCAGCTCATCTCAAACTGTACCAATGCCAAAATTATAGCATGGTGAGTACACATTTGCATCGTAAATGCCACAGTTCTAATTGTAATTCCTCTTCTGTTCTGGTTGGAGACCTGTAAGAAAAACATTCAGTGAGAAGAAACTTAAGCAGCAGACTGCCTGGATTACTTTTCTATTTCATTTACAGGAGCAAAGGATGCACTCATATAAATAAGGCCACTTGGGAACATACAACCAGGCAGAGGTCAGACTAGACCTTTTATACTTGTCAATGTCTCAACCAATACTATTCACACAGGGCCTCCCTTTCCGCCAGAAAGGTTTTGGGCAGGCCTTCCACTTACAAGCATCTGCGTGGCTTTCCAGCGTCACATGTCTAGGATTACAAAGAAGGCTAAGGTGGAGCCCAAGCTCCAAGCAGTGCCACATGGTGAGGGGAGCACTGCACAGGGTAGGGTGTCTAGGTCCAGCTCTGGGAACACGTTGGGGACAGGTGTCCACAATTATCTCTGAAATGGGCATGTAACACTGTAGTGACAGGGGCAACAGCAGAAATCGCTACCTTTTACTGTGGCTTAGGCAAGTAAATAGTCCTTATGGATGGGGCACTGCACTTAAACTTCATACAAACCACACGTGGCCAGTAATACCAACCCCAAGGTGACAGAGTTCAGAGTTGTAATTGGCAAATCTGGGGTTCACTCAAGTGTGTGCTCTTCTTTTTATCACAATATTGTTAGTCAAATGAGATAAAAGTTACAAAGGACTTCCAGGAAGAAATCAAATCTGCCTACTACGGAGTACCTCATTCACCTGGCCTTTGCTCAGGAACCCGACACAGGAAAACATATCAGGGCTGCACATCCACAGGTGTACATCTTGCCTTTCATCATGTTTCCTCGGTGGCCACTAGGCTCATAAAGGAACCAATGTGAACTGCCATGAACTAGCAATCCTAACCCCTCCACAGCAAGGAACATAAAAAACAAACACCTGCTCAGCTAGTCAGTCAGCAGCAGAAGCGTTTGTATGAAGGGCACGCGATGCTTCTGCGGCCAAGAGGTACAGAGTCTCTCCAGGAGTATGTGATCTGCCCAAGATCAGAGGGCTAACTATAAGCAGCAAGAGCACACCAGGACCTCAAACATCTGGCTCAAGCTCTGGCGCTCCCCGGCTCCCCATGCTGATCCTGCTGGACCCTCTCCTGGACGGTCAAGGAACCAGATGGCACAGCAGGTAAAAGTTGGGAACCACATGTGGTTAGGACAAGTGAGGACCACTACTGCCTGCTCTTATAGCCTTATTTATGTGATGGTTAGGTTAAACACAGAGATAAATGGCTGCATTTCCTAGCCAAAAAACACTGAAAGAAGCACAATGTAAGGAAGAAGCCGGCTAACCCTGGTCTGCTTCCTCCCGCAGGCGCTGCGGGTGCCTGCACTGTCTCTGTCGTGCAGCCGGCTCACCTGGAGGTGGACTACACCTACACGGCCGTCACCATCAGGTGCACCTTCTCCACAGCTGGATGCCCTTCGCAGCAACCCCTGAGCCTGTGGTTTCGCTATGGCGTTCACTGGGCTGAGCACCTCTGCTCGGTCGGATGCAGAAGTGAAGCAGATAAATTCACAGTGAGGGAAGCCCTGGACCAGAACCAAGTCTCTCTCACGGTTAACAGGGTGACTCCAAATGACAGCGCAGTTTACATCTGTGGGATAGCATTTCCTGATTCATCGGCACCAAGAGCTAAGCAAACCGGAGGTGGGACCACACTGGTGGTAAGAGGTCAGTCCGTTAAGTCTTTATGTAGGGCAGGGCAACATCACATTTTGCACAGATCTTTAAAATCTCGTATCACATTCAGAAAGTAGGAAATAAACTTGGGGTTTAATATCCTAGCCGGTGAAGGGTACGATCTGAACACAAGCTGCCATGAGTTCTAGACTCAAGAACTACTCCAACCCCACTGTTCAGCGCCCGCAGACAACCCCCTGCAGCGCTATTCTTCCTCCCCATATACCCCAGTGACTAGGTGCGACACGCTGGTTCACTCTCCGTCTTCTCAGGAACTGGCTAGACACATTTGGAGACGCCACTGGTACACCTGGAGAGAACAGGAAATGACAGCCCTGGCTTCCTGAGGTCCATAAAATCTCTCACAATCCCTAACTAGAGCGAGGACATCAAACCTAGCTAAATCCTATCAGTAATTTCCCCAACTCATCCCCTTGAGAAGTCTGAGATTAAGAAACTTCAAGCCAGGCATGGTGGAGTCCACCTGTAGTCCCAGCTACTTGGGAAGCTGAGGCAGGAGGGTCAGTTGAGACCAGGAGTTCAAGGCAGGCCAGCTCCCCTCACATAGCAAGACTCCACCTCTTAAAAAAAAAAAAAGAGGAGGTATAATACATTTTAAAGAACAGATGAACTGGCTTTATCTATCATACACCTGAAAGTTTTCTGACCCTCAGCAAATGTTTATATGAACAGAAAAGGCTAAATTCATATTTTACCTCTAACTTGTAGCTTCGATGATGCTATATGTGTACATTTGTAAGAATATGCCTCAACAGTGACTGTTTCCTTCTGTTTCCATAATGAAGAAAGTAAGCTTCTCAGCAAGGAACTGCAGGGTGTCTTCACAGCACTCTTAGCATTGCTCTCAATGTACATTATCGGCATATGTGTGATCTTCATAGTGCTCTCCAAAGTAAGTAAAATGCTTTTGCACTGAATATATAGCCTTGACTATTATCATGGGGAAAAATAATTTCTACCTCTCCACAAGCTGTGAGCCTCAGAAATAGCTCGCCTAATTAACATCTTCCTCTGCCTCTGCAGGGATCACCAGCTACAGAAGAGGGCTGAAATTATTAACCAGAGTACAGAGCTTACAGTGCTTTCTCTTTGAACCCAGAAAGATGGGACTGAGACACCATCTTCTATGCCAGCTTTTTACTATGAGGCATGGGAAAGTGGAGAGGCGGTGCTACTGTTATCTATGAAAGCCCTAAGAATAACTTGTATAAGCAAACATGAGTTCATGAACAGATTAGAAGCTGCCTGAAATTTTCTGAAAGCCCTAAAGTTACTACAAAAGAGAGCATCTTTTGAGGGGCCCGGGATTTAGCTCAGTGGAACCACTCCTGCCTTGCAAGTGCAAGGTCCTGAGTGCGATCCCAGTACAATTAAAAAAAAGAAGAAGAAGGGTATCTTTGGGCTATACATGTGCTATAAGAGGGGGTGTATATATATCAGAATTATTATAAACTCTACAATAAACATTAGTCTGCATTGTTAAATTCATTTAGTAATGAAATAAAGCCATCTTAGAAATGTTTTGAACATTATTAACTCTTTTTGTATGTCATTTTAATACTAAGTTTAATCTTACTGAATGAAGTATCTGTCACAGTTGTTGTGAGTGTACATAAAATGGTTATACTTTCCTTTTCTTCTTGGCAGTCAAGATCTAACACTCTAAAAAGAAAAGAAACAGAAGATTCACAAAAGGTACAGAACAACACTTGTAAAATATTTTTTTAATTATGGCTGGTTGTAACTATTTTAAATCTTAATTTATTTTAAGAATCAAAAAACATGGTGGTAACTGAACGATAAATACTGTGCTAACATTTGCTTCTACTGAGAACCCTCAATGATACTCTCAAGCACAACCGATTTCAATGTGACAGCTCACCACCACAAATCTACTTCATGTACTCGAAATACAAGAGTTACCTGCAGGTGCAGACCTGCTGGAGTGGTGGTTTCTGAGACTGCTAGCAGTAAAAAAGAAAAGGTTCTGAGGATGAGCAGCAATCATCACTTATGCTCCTTCAACACACAAATCTTTTTCTCATTTGTATTTATAGAAGAAAAGTGCTCGGCGTATTTTTCAGGAAATTGCTCAAGAACTATACCATAAGAGATACGTGGAAACAAGCCAACAATCTGTGAGTACAAACAGAAGATGCCATAAAGACAGAAAGCATGCCTCACTGAAAGGGCTAAGCAGCCAACGAGCTGTTAATAAATGTCTTCCCTCAGAAAGGTCTGAAGGCTTTCACACACAAAATGAATTTTTATATAAAACACACATAACAAAGGACATTTGATACAGTATTAAAGAGCCCCAGGCTGCACCTTAGTAACTTGGAAGTTTTCAGAAACACATGGACATAGGCAATGCTTTCAGAACCAAGAATACTTTCATGGAATAAAAGCTACTCTTTATAGTATCTTGTTTGCAGAAAAGACATTAAGTTGATGCTGCACACATCTGTGGGTCACATTACAAAAATAGTCTTGTTACCATCAGGGCAAAAGTAAATTCTTAAGGGCTGAGGGTGTAGCTCAGTGACAGGCTGACCCAGCCATGTGAGAGACCCTGGGTTCTACTACTCAGCACCACCATAAAAATATAAATAAATTCACATTACAAAGGATGAAGCTAATGATATAAGAATGAGTGTTTCTTCAGTATTTGGGGTGAAGTGCTAGGAAGAATACATTTATATTACTTTCTGGTAATATAAGGAACATTCTGACAGTGTTCCTTTAAAGGATGCTATTTAAAACTAGGAGAGCAGATATGCTGTTTCCAGGATGTATGAACAGATCTCTCAGATTTTATTACAATGAACGTATACACTAGTAAAAATATTTTCTTCTTAAACACCATCCAAGAGAGCAAATCCAACAGGACAATGATTATGGGGTACAGCTTAATCCAACTTCAAAAGGAGAATTTTATGTCAAAAGATAATATCATACAAGCAGTCATTCTGTTTTCCTGTGTATGTACAAACACTGATCTAATGCGCTGAGTCACTGGACAATGATCCAATTACCTAAGGTGCCACTCTGAAGAGTTATAATGTCTGTTCACACTTTTTTCTTATTGGAGCCAGGGCATCTTTGCAATAAAGGCAAAAGGAATGGCCAGAAGGAAGGCATGGAAATAATTGTACAGCTCCTGACCAGGGTTTTGACAATGGCACCTAGACAAGAAAATGATTTTTGTCTGTTTCCACACCCTATTCTAAATAAAGGAAAAATGGTAATCTGACCTTTAAGATTACTAGAAAGATACTCAGAACCCAGAATGCAAGACAGCGTGTAGCTTATATGTTGCTTGGAGGATGGTAGCACTGGTTACATAACCATAAACATGGCTCATTATTTACTACTGCAGGAGAAGGACAACACTTATGAAAACAGAAGAGCACTTTCCAACTATGAGAGACCATAGACACTCTCATTTTCAAGTTACTGAAAATCCAACTGCTGAAGCTACGGTGGGTGATATGAATGGACCATACACCAATCAGCTCTCTAAAAAATAATTAAAGGTAAATGGAAAAGACACTGGCTGCAAAGAAGAATGCCAGGGTAATAAGGAAGCTACAACTAAGAGAAAATTTAAAAATACAAAAATCCAACACAGTGGAACTGAAAAAAAATTTTCCTAATTTTCCAAGAAAATTCTAAATGGCAAAACATTTTTAAGAACTTCAGCCTAACATTTTCAAAAACTTCTATACTATGTAGCCTGTTTGCTTTATTCAACATATGAGGTTTTGGAATGGATGTTACCCTAAATACTGGAAGTGAAATCATATGCCTTAATGCTAAGTGGAAGAAATACTTGTACATGATGGGACGATTAGAATCAGCAAAAAAGGGAAAAGGGAGAGGGGAAAGTGCCAATATTTGAGTTTGAGAAATTCATTTTGAAAAGTACTGTGGGGCAAAAATTACTGCTTCTGGTATTATAATAATGCAATGGTATAGTAGACATTCTGCCAGGATATGCAAAATAACTTACATCATGCTACCAACAAAAGTGAGAGTAGAAAAGAGGCTAGCCTGGGTGGGAGGAGAGAGGAAGGGAAAGTAAAAGGATGAAGATTTGATATGTATTTGTACCACCTCCTCACCATAAATATATTTATTATGTATCACAAACACATACTAATAGAAAAGAGGGATTCAAAAGCAACAGAGGGCTGGGGATTTAGCTTAGCTCAAGGACCTGAGTTTGATACCTGGTACCATAAAATTAAAAAGGCGATAAAGAAAAAAAAATAATGTACCAAAAGACAGAATATCCAAAGCAAAACGTTAAATGGAGAAAAATCTCAGAACAAGTGAGCTCCCAATGACTCCAGATGTCAGTGTTGTGACTGCACTGGGGGAGCAGAGAGCCTCTGACCGCCTGCATGGGACCTTTGCAACACTGATTTTTAACCAATTTAGGAGGGAAGTAGCAGATAGCAGACTGGTAAGAGAAGGTGTTTATGGACATCATTAATCATTTAACTGAAAATATGTATCTTGGATTATTCTTTGAAAGCTACTTAATTGTAAACAATCTAAAATAGCCATGATTATACATTTATTATTAAATATGAATTATAATGCATCATGTTTCATTACGGTGGTTTTTTTTGTTTTGTTTTTTTGAGACAGGGTCTCACTAAGTAGTGGAGACTGACCTGGAACTCACTATGTGGCCCAGGTTGGTCTCGAACTCACAGTGATCCTCCTGCCTCAGCTTCCTGAGTGCTGGGATTAAAGACGTGCACCACCATGTCCCGCTTAAGGTGTTTCTTTTAAGCTGGCATTAAATGAGACACATTCTTTTGAAAACCCAAACATAATTTTAAAGTACTTTCAGATCCTTTTGGAAGCATTTTACACTAACAACTCAAATAATAGATATCAATCCTTTCTCATAACAAATGCCCAGAAAAACAGAAAAGAGAGGAAGGAGCATGTGGCCTCCTTTTATTTCCATGTGCACATGTGTTGCATGCATGCACACATGTATGTACACATGTATATGTATGTTCTGTATATATCTAACAGACAAACACATAAATAAAGTAATGGTATAACTAGCAGCATAAATAAAATGCTAATATTTTCTTCCTATATTTAAAAATAATTTTTCTGTTTACTCTCAGAGGTACATACTCTCACTTTAAGACCACTGGCTTAGGTGAAACCAATGAACTTCTGATCCAGATGGCAGAAAGCAGGTTAGCACTAATTCCATCTAGGGAAACACAAGTATTGAATTAGATATTTACTTTTCATTTCTGGCAGTCTTTACATTTTGTTACTTAATTCCAGGATGAAAAAGACACTGCTCCTTGTGTAACTCATCAGGAGACAAAATCCCTAGGATAAACTAACCAGGAGGGAAAATCCCTAGGAATTTATATTGCATTCTGAATACGCCTTTCCCAATGTGCGCAAGGACTGTGTTTCAAAGATTGATTTTTAAGCTGACATTTAGAATACTCTTTCCCAAAGAAAGGAGTTCTGTTTCCCTGGGTCATACACAGAAAGACCTGGTGTATGTGTCCTCTTCGTCCTCTGATTCCTCCACATAGCCAGCGATATTTACTGGGTACTGAGCGACTGTGCAAGACCTCCTTTGCCCATTATCCTAGGGTCATGCTGAACCTGTGCTACCCCAATCCCACCATGTTCACACCTTCCTATTTCCCTCAGATGCAGCGTATGAAAGACTTCAAACCCAGCTCAATAAGCACACACTAGGCCCTAGGATGGATCTCTACCCCTGCCAAAGTGAAACAGTTCAGAGTCACCCCCAACACAAAATCCTTCCTAACTCCCCAACACTTAATGGAACTTTCTTTCTCTAACCCACAGTACTTTTATCATAGTTCTTAACATGTTACGCTACCACTGCCTATCGCATCTATTTTCTGTATTCTTCTGTGTTTTTAGACTAGAAACGCAGTTTTCATTTATCATTGTATTTCCATTGTTTGGTACCCACTCTGGAAAAAGTAGGCCCTCAACTCTCTTCACATGAAAGGACTGAAAAACATTCCTATAAAAAATAACTCTTTTAGAATTTCAACTGAGATGTGAGGCATACTTTACTGCCTAGGCAACAGCCTTGACCTCTCTCCATAAAGGCATTCATTGGATCCAGTAATATTAATTTCCTTGCTAGCTGAGAATCCAAATGAATTTTCACTGGAAAGGATTAAAGTATGGCTTCCTGTTAAGTGTGAGTTTCCCATGCCAATGAAAATGCAATAATACTAAAACTATTTGCCTTAGTCAGTTTGGGCTACTAAAACAACTGCCATAGGCTAGTTGTCTTATTATAAACAAATGAAATTTATTTCTCACAGTTCTGGAGGCTAGACGTCTGCAATCAGCGAGCCACATGGTTGGGCTCTGGGAAGGACACTGTGCAGACTGCTCATTTCTTATATCCTCACATGGTAGAGGGCAGAGAGAAGCAAGGTCTTAGATTTCTAATAAGGACACAAATCCCTATCCTCTAGACAAGAGCCCTAAAATCACATTCCAGAATATATTGAGGATTTTCAAACTAAGTACTTTCTTTTCTGTATGGTATAAGACTTGAGAGAATCTGAATAGGAATTCAGAAAACAGACATAGGCACCAAAAAAAAAGGGAAGGGAAGGGAAGGGAGGGGAGGGGAGAGAGGGAGAGGAGCGGAGAGGGGAGGGACTAAGCATACAGCCGATGGCATACAGCACACAGCTGGCTAATAGGCATACAGCTATACAAGTCACACAAACCAGTGGAGAATACATTCTCACACAGTTAAGATGCAGTATGAAGACTTCAAATTCTGATTACTGTTAAGAGATTTTGACAGATTGAAAGATGTTGATTAATATTTCAATCTGAAGAACTGAACAAGTACACTCAAAGCCACAAATAAAAACAAAGTAACAGAATAAGACAGAATGAAACACATCTAACGTTTGTCAAATATCAACAAAAAGCCAGACATGGTTGAATACCGTCTATACATTAGATTATTTCATGCTCACAATAAACCAAAGTAGGTATTAGCCCCTCCTGCAGATGACACTAAGATTAATGAGAGACCCAGGTAACCAGTATTTCCCAACCCAAACGAGGGTCAGCCCTCAAAGCCCAAGCTCTTTGCATGAAATAGTCCTGCCAGAGCCCAGCTTATTTCTATTTAACTTACTGAGAACTTTAAGACTAAACATGTTGGACTGGGGATGTTTGGTGCTGCGCCTGCCTGGCAAGAGCAAGGTCAAGTTCAATTCCCTACACTTGGGGGGAAAAAAAAAAAAAAGACTAAACCTGTCTAATTTAACCAGACCAATGACCCTGGGAGAAGAAAGAGTTGCCAAAAGACTACACATCTCCACAAGCACAGCCCGTTGAGGTTTCACAGGAGAATTCTACCAAATCTTCAAAGAATAAAGGATGCAATTTAATCTTCCCCATTATTTTTCATCAAGTCAGCAGAACACTGACACCAAAGAAAAGGTAACTTTCCAAAAAACAAGATCAGATATAGGCTATCGTTTATCAATATTAATGCTCCTCTTATTTAAAATTTTCATCAACAGACTAAAAGTGCAATAGGAGAAGATAATCATATCCAAATCCAGAAATACCAACACTGTTAGAAGAAAGCTATTAATAAATCAAAGAAGGAAAAAGAGTGTGACCATTTCTATAGATGTTGAAAACTCAAAATTACAAAATTCAATACTGACTGCTAATTTTTAAGCTCCTAATAAAATGGAATTTTTAAAAAATGTGTCAACCAGCCAGGCACGATGCTGGCCTGTAATTCCAGCCCTCGGGAGGCAGAGGCAGGAAGACTGCTCTAAGTTTGAGGACAGCAACATTTTCATTAAAGTCAGAAACAAGTTTTTTTTTTTTAACATTATAAAGCAAGCTACTGGTATGTAAAAGTCCATCCTCCTCCCCATGATCCAGTGGTGTACTGGCAAATAAATATTCAACAGCTAGCTTGGAAAACAGACTATTTATAATGTTTGCCAAATCCTATGGTGTAAATACTATCACCATGGTCAACTGCACCAACAGCCATATTTAATAAGTAGTTCTCTAAATTTCTGCTAACAAAACAATCATGTTCCATGAACCAGTATGAGCCGGTTGCAACACACCACTACACAGACACTGTATCCAGACAGTGATGTAGAAGTGCATGTGCGGTTAGGAAAATTCCTAGATAAAGTTGAGTGGAAAGGGTGATCAAAGTATTTATTACAATGGGCCTCAGGCCAGGTGTGGTGGTACATGCCTGTAATCCTAGCACTCAGGAGGCTGAGGCAGGAGGATTGCCGTGAGTTAAAGGACAGCCTGAACTATATAGCAAGACCCCGTCTCAAAAAAACCAAAAACAAACAAACAAAAATGCATATGGCCTATAACTACTTATATAAATAATTTTTAATATATTTATATAGACTAACTTTTGAAGATTAAGGTAACTGAAAAGACTGTACAACTGGAGTGGATGAGAGATGTTTTATTTTATACCCTCTGGCAAACTGCTTGAACTATTTTTTACCATAAATTACTTTGTATAAAAATGGTAATTTTGAAAAACGAATAACATATTGAAGTTTCTTTTTGATGATACAATTCTCCTTTTCTTGATT